GCAGCCAGCTCTGCTCCCACCACCGTCGGGAAACACTTACTTGAATATGGTCACAAAAGCGGTGACCCTCCAGCTCCAGCGCCAGCCGTAGCGGAGGAAGCTCCGGAGACCTGCCCGATGTGCAGATTGCTGGGGGAGAGGAGGAGAAGACAGGGAACAGATCACAGCCCTGCCCCTCCTCGCCAGCAGCACCAGCCGGGGTGCTGGGGCTTGGGAAGGACACCCTGACCCTTAGGGATAAAGCCAGCCATCTCCAGAGGAAAAGGTGCTCACAGCCACCCCAGCCACCAACAGGAAAACTGGGAATTAATTCCAGTTTGGCATGTCCACTGGTCTTTCTAATCCTGGTGCTCAAACGTATCTAATGGGACAGGGAAAGCTTTCTGAAGGCAGTATGGGAGTAGCAGAGCAGGGGGGACAAACTGGCTCTTCACTATTATGAGTTTGTAAGTATTAATAAATAACAGCCATAAAAAGTAAGTAATAACCACCTACTTTAAATGTTAGAGGAGACCATCAAGCTTTGCAGTTTAACACCGGCAGTTAAACGTTTGGCGATAAGTGGCTCTTAAAAACATGTGATAAACAGGAGCTTCATAAAAGTGAAACACATTCCAGCTCATGCCACAAATGGAACTCAATTCTCCCTCCCGCTGCCCGCGGTGCCAGCGCCCCGTGCGGGTGCAGATCCACGCGAGGGTGAGCAGAGGGGCAGAGCAGCCAGGCACTGACACTCCGGCTGCTCTGCCCGGGGCCTGAGCCAAGTGGCGAATGATGTAAAACCAGGTCGATTTTTAAACTTTTTTTTTTTTCCCCCCCCCCGATAATCAAGGTACCCAACGTTTTAACCGAAGAAGAACCCCCTACAAGTTCAGACACGTCTATAAAATGTCACAAACGTTCCTTGTTGCGAGGTGGAGCGATAAGCTAAAACAACTTGTGACATTAACAAGAGGACACCACCGGTTTGACCCGGCAGAGTGAAGACCCTTTCCAAAATACTTCCACTTCAAAGATGGAAGACTTTGGAAGACACATCCATTACCCAATTAACAGAAGGCTAAACACCGTTACCAAGCCCTTCTACGCTCAAAGCCCCTGAGCGGACACGGTGGGACGGGGGACACAGGGCACAGCTCCGACGGAGCCCCCGCGGTGTTTCTGCCACCAACGGCACCGAACCCAGGCGGCTTCCCTGGCACGGGCCCCTGTGCCACCCCCAAGGGCAACAACAACCCCCCAAGGGCAACAACAACCCCCCCAAGGGCGACAACAACCCCCCCAAGGGCAACAACAACCCCCCCAAGGGCAACAACAACCCCCCCAAGGGCAACAACAACCCCCCCAAGGGCAACAACAACCCCCCCAAGGGCAACAACAACCCCCCCAAGGGCAACAACAACCCCCCCAAGGGCAACAACAACCCCCCCAAGGGCAACAACAACCCCCCCAAGGGCAACAACAACCCCCCCAAGGGCAACAACAACCTCCCTGGGCAGCCTGTTCCAGTGCTCT